CAAATGCCTTTTAGTCTCTTGTATGATGTGACTTCAGCTGTTCTCTGCTTCAGCTGCTAAAGTGAATACATTCAGGTTTTGGACTGCAGGTTGAACAAAACAAAACATGCGTATGAGACTAAATAAATAATTAGAAAAAAAAAAATATTGCAGCACGTTATTATCCTCCACAACAAGCCTCTGCTGTGATTCACATTAACGCTCAACAAGAACACGATTTATTCCTCAGCTCACTAATTTATGTCGCAACATTATGTAAGCAATTAACATAATTCAAGTCACTTCAGCGGAAATTACAGAAACATTTATGCCGCCGTGAGGCTGCGTTGAATCCACGTGCTTAAGCCTGTCAGATGACTTTTCTCACACACTCGGGCACATGAGAGATTGTTTTAATAATGAGGTATTTTAGCCTCTGGGTACGTCTCCATCTTCTCTCGTTTCTCATCTTCTCCTGCTTTCATGTCCTCTCCACTCTGATGTCTGACTGCAGGAGTGTCTGTAGCTGTATTACATAACATCCTGCTCTCTCTTGGACGCTGCATGTGTTTACAGATGCATGTCGAGTTGTCGCTTGGCTGTATGCAACGAATACGTACATGTAGTGAGGATGGACTGCGCATGACACGTCTGTTTTCTGTCTTGGGCTGGTCAGACCACCCAGCTGGAACCTGTCAGGGTGTGTCCAGGGGCTGGAGAGGGGAGAGGGGGAAGCGAGAGGGCTCGAGGGCGTGAGGAAGGGCATACCCATGAGCCCACAGTGCATCCGGCCTCGGGGCCCCATCTGGAATAAGACAGAGCCTCTCCCAGAGAAGGAAGAGGGAATTTCACCAAGAAAAAAAAAAGCAAAAAACTTCAAGAGGGGATGAGAGAGAAAAGCTCTCTGTGTTTTAGGAACAGAAAGATGAGGACTAGCTCTCTGCTGGAGAGTCTAGTTTGGGATTTTAGGATTTTGATCTGGGATTTTGTTCAGCAGTGAAGTTTAGAGGCTCTGGAAGGCAAATGTAACCGTCTCTGTTTCCAGTCCACGGTTAGGAGAGCTGCATCAGTCCTCTCATCTAACAGATAAACACATTTCCCAAAGTGTTTAATGATTCCTTTAAAGAAAAAATACCAAAAAAGAAGCAGATTATTCCTTTACATCCGTCTGTTGGGGCTTTTTCCAGCACATCTTTTTAAAGACAATTTTATTTATGCATGTATTTATTTATAACGCTAACCCAGAGTCTCCACAGTTTAATTTATTAAAAAAATAAAAAAAAATCTAAGCTTAAAATTGTGATCTTTCATCAAATTCACTGTATTTTGTACATTTAACGTAAACACTCACAGAAAATAAAGAGTTTGCACCAAATATGGTAAAAAACTAAAAATTCTGCACTTCTTGGCGCACATAAGAAGCCACGATTAAACAAAAGACAACAAATTATCAGTTTTCAGGTGAACTGCAGGCAGTGTTTCCACAGAGCAGAGAGGAGACGACAAGAGAGACTAAAAAAAAGGTTCATAAATGGTTTACAGAGGAGCACGTTGTTAGAGAAACATCCAGCATGATGAAGCATCGATCTACAGCCGACGAGCAGAGCAGAGAGGAAAACATTTTGCTTCCAGAGGTTGAAAAATGTAAGCAGTAAAATATGAATTGAGTGTAGACCCACCATTTTCAGGTTGTGGAGACTCGGATGTTCTTGGATGTCCGTGTTGATTCCAGGTTTTTCATGATTTGTGGCTTTCTAACTGTGTCGTACTGCAAAGAAGACACCTTTGTCTCCTCCTTCATGGTTGTGCTGTTTCCATAGAGGAGCAGGACTTTATATTACAGTGAAAAATGCATCGATTTTTCTTAATTTGCACTATAGATGAGTATATAGACCTTATATAAACCATTAATCTTTATTATGGGGACGAACCGAGGCACTAAAGCAACATGTGAGTTGCGTTTTATTAATCAGTGGTTACAGCACTTCTGAATTCTAAATTTAATATAAAAGGTGCCTAAATGTTTAAACTGCTCAGTTACTTGCATCAGTTAAATTGAAGACTTTGGATAAAGTTAGGTTTAGTGCGATAGCGAGGAGGTCAAAGGTCAGCGGACAGTCCTCACCAGAACAGTGTGAATGAAAGTATGTGTGGGTGTTTTCCTTGGTTTGGTGGGGAGGGGGAATGCCCTGCAGATGTTCTTCAGCTTTTGGGAAAGAGAGAGAGGAAGAGAGTGAGTGATGTCACACGTATAGTATGTGAATCCCACCCACCCCCTCACCCTCCATCCTTCCATCCTCCTCCCACTCCTATTTTTCTCTCTCGCATTTTTGTGGGGGCTCAATTTTCGCTCCTCTGCCTCATGAGATGACCAGAGGTTCGGTCTCGCTTCTGCGCTGGGAGACTTTTTTTTTTTTTTTGCTTTCTTCCCCTCTTTCTCCTCCTCCTCCCATCTGGTTTTCTCTCCCTTCATCCCTCCATCACCAGAAATCCCAGCTACAAAGCCTCTCCTCCTCCTCCTCCTCCTCTTCCTCCTCGTCTCTGGATCAGCAGTGAGGGTCTCTGCAGAGTGATGAAGACTCTCTTCCTGTCACTGCCACCCTCCACCCATAGCGCCAGTGGGGGCCTCTGTGGGGTCACCGAGTGCTTGTGTGTTTGGATGTGTGTTTGTGAGGAAGCTGGGAAGATGTTGAGGTGCTGCAACCAAAGTTTGAGGGCGTTTGACACGTCGCCTCTACCTGTGGGAAGGTAAGCGTGCAGGGGACACTATGGGGGAGGTTTCAATGTAAATATGTTGTGTAGAGTTGAAGGATTTGTGGTGGTGGTAACTACATCTGGTCTTTCTTTTTCTGTTTTAATTAGTCCTGAATTGATTTTTTTTATTGAATCAATTGAAAAATAAATTAAGAAAAACAACTCTTTGGTGCAAAAAAGAAAAGAATGCGTGATGATGTTTCTTTGGTCTGTTTGATGCCACTGGAGTGTTTGCAGGACAGATCAGATGAGGACTGTGGGAGAGGCTGCTTTGGGGATTTGGTTAATTGGTGACGAAATTTTGCCAGTTTGCAGCCGTCAGTCCACAGATGAGAGAGCTGCATCACTTCTCTCATCCGCCTCACAAATCAACATGTGTCGCAAAGTGTTGAGAGATTCCTTTAAGGAAAAAATAAATCTATATATAAATGATTTGATTTGTGCAGCAGTAGAGCAGATGTGGCTGCAAACAACCAGAACAAGGAGCAGAACCAGAACCGTCAAGAATGCAACTCAAGTTTGATGATTTGGGTTTTGTTAATTTTATATCATCTTTGAGTGTTTTGCATTTTAAAAAAAAGCTCTCTGTTGCAGGAACAGAAAGATGAGGACTAATTCTTTGTGGGAGAGGCTAGTTTGGGTTTTTTGGTTTATTGGTGACATTTAGAGGCTCTGATTGGTGAATTTTGCTCGTATGGCTATCTCCCTGTTGGCAGCCTTCAGTTAACAGACTAGCGTGTAAGTGTCTAAAGAACCCTTTAAAGAAAAGAATGTACAGATCATTTGATTTCTGCTGCAGTGGAGCCGTCTGTTTTAACCCGCTGCAGGACAAAACAGTTTAAAAATGCAGCTTTCCTTCCTGGAAGGGCTGTTTTTTGATCAGGAGGATAATCAGTTAAAGAGCTGTGAAATGTGTCTTATTTGCAGCTCAGGTTTGGTGTACGTCGCTGCAGGATCCAGCAGACTGAGGGAAACTCTTGCAGCTCTGTGAATGCTGGTGTGTGTGTGTGTGTGTGTGTGTGTGTGTGTGTGTGTGTGTGACAGCGTGTGTGGAGAGTGAAACCACATGTTGAATGGGAGGGCGAGCAGGGCCGTGTGAAGATTTGGATCTGAAGCAGAGGGCAGGCGAGCGGCGTGCACGAGTGTGTGTTTGTGTGCGGACAGGATGAAGCGTGAGACGGAGGTGTTTATGTGTGCATGTGTTTGTGTGGGTGTTGTGGAGGGCTGCAGCGGGTCACATTTTTCCAGCGATGGGACCTCTCTGCTCTCCAGCTCCCATCTAAGACACTTTCATTCTGACATCCGGTCGGTGGATGCAGCCAGCTCCCCTCCCCTCCTCTCCGCTTCGTTGTTGTTCGTTCGAGACACAGAGAGAATCTTTGAGGAGCTCCTCAGTGCTCGTCAATGTAACATGAAAGAAACTTTAAAAAAAAGGCCAGAAAAATCCACCTGAACCTGCTTCAAAGTGAATTTTTTTTAGACACAAGAAAAGCAAAACTGTAAAATCTGACACTGAGTAAAAAAGTAGCAGCAGCTTGATGCCAGTAGGTTACTGTAAAAACTGTTTGAAGTATTATGACTGTACTTCCATTTGCAGTAAGCAGCAGTATTACTGTATTCAATCAAGTTTTTCCACCTGATCCAAGTCGTTTAATATATTAATAAACCCCAATCCGATACCATTTTTGGAGATAATACACACTCTAACACCTTTAAAGTTAATAAGATCATTCCTACGTTTATGCTTGACGGCTGAGTAGCAAAAAAAGCATTTCCTTCGTGTAACCACGGTTTTTTGGCTGTAAAGCGTCGGTACGTTGGAAGAAAGAAGAAAAAAAAGTTAAAAAATAAATGAATAAAGTGAAAGTTGCCAGAAAAAATGTTTTAAAGGTGAAATATTGTAACACTGAAGAACTGTTAACCTGGTGAAAACAACAGTGAATGTGTGTAAAATAATAATTTAGCTGAATTAAATACAGTCAAACAGCTGACACTTCTAAGACGCCGCAAAAGAACAAATTACAGATTTGAAAAAAAATACTGATTTGTTAATATTGACATTGTGAAAAGTTATTTGTCAGTTATTTACTTATTTCTTTTTACAGTCTGCATATAAATTCAACTTTGTACCTGTAAGTTTACTGGATATTTTTTGTGATTTACCAAAACAGAAAAAAAAAAGTAAAATAACGGTTAAAATAATTACTTATCATTTCTCCATCCATGATTATTGCGAAGCCTTGATTGATCCCAATTATTAATATCGAACTAAGACATCCTTAGTGTTCTCATTTACAGAATTTTTACTGGTTTTGAGCTTTTAGATGTTTAAACCTAATTTAATTTAAACTAAATTAAAATTTTAAATTGCAATACAGCACCTTAAACTTTTTTTTTCTCACACAAGATGATAAGCAACAAATTTGTCCTTAAATATGTCTTTTAATTGCTAAACATTTACTCATTTAACTGTCCATATATTGTAATTCTCTCTATAGCTTGGTCTTTTTGTAAACTGGCTGGAAAACCAACAGCATGACTTTGTTTAATTTTTAATAACCTTGATAAGAAATGTCCACAATAATGTTAAATGTTATGTCTTAATTAGTTGTTTTTTCCTTTAACAGCTAATGGTGTGGACCAAGTCTTATAGAGAGTATTAATAAAGTATTTAAAGTAAAATATTCAGGACCTGAACTTGAGTAAAAGTACAAAGGCAGCAAAAATACTCCATTACAAGGAAGTCCTGCATGAAGTAAAAGCAGCAAAATGTAATGAAAGCGAAGCAGGAAAGTCTTGGTTTGGTTCCTCTGACTAACACATAGATAAATATCTGATTGTTAATAAAGGAGCTTCAGGGCGTCAGCATTGTTGCAGGTGGAGCCAGCTTCTATCCAGTTTTATTGTGGTGGACAGCAGATAAATCTGACGGCTCCAAACATGATTCATGGGAAAAGAAAGAAGAAAAAAGTTCTGATGCACAAATCTGTTTCCAGTTTTTGGACTTGGATATTAGATCATTTGAACATTTATTGAAATGAAACCATGTGTGAAGTTTCGAGGGGGAAAAAAAAAAAAGAATAATTTTTTGGTGGAGCTGTTAACAACTCATAGACATCTGAAATGTGAGCTGACTGCTTTTTAGAAGAAAAGAGAAGAAAAAAAAAGATTTAATATTTAACTACGTGCTGTAAAAGTTTGATTTATTGATTGTAATCTTAGAATTTAAAGTAGGTAAAGCTGTTAGATATAAATGTGGTGGAACAAAAAGTAGAATTTTTCCCTCTAAAACATGGCGCAGTGGAAGGAGGCTTCAACACAGTGAAGTTACTTTCTACGTCTCCACATTCGTTTTTTTTTTTTTTTGCTTGTGTATTTTGGCTGCGGCCCTTGTTTAGCATGCAGGCTGATCATTGGTTCAGATTTGTGTGTTACTTCTTCCATTTGCATTTCGCTCCACTCTGACACATGTCAACTCGCTCTGGCAGCCACTTCTGAGTAATTAAATTCAAAGAAGTCGCCCCTAGTACTCTTCACAGATCTCCTCTCTTTTCGGGTTTCTTTTGAAGTACGACATAATTAACACACAATGGAAGATCTTCATCGGCAGAGACGTGAGTGTGACACCAATCCCTCTGATCCACTCAGAGCTGTGAAGACTTATTGATCGCTGGGCCTCCTGGTGCCACTCGGAGCCTGTGAAGCTCAGAGATTGGATCAAATTGCACCGAATCGCCTCCTTCCCGCCTTCTGTTCTATTATGAATATGCTGCTAATGTTGATTTTTTTTGATAAAAATATTTCAAAAAAGAAGACATTTTGGTGAGTGAAGGTCCAACAGAGAGGCTCTTTCCTCCAGATTCCAGAAACGTGTCTCTGCACCAACACCAGCAGGCTTATCAGTGAAACACAGGATTGAGATGCATGTAATCTCAGAGCTAATAATCTCTGGACATAACAGACCGGCTTTGTTTACACTGTGACTCTCCAACAGTCTCACAAACAGCTCAGAGAAACGCCGAACCGTGCCAGGACAGCTTGCTTCACTTTATCTCAGCGCCGGTGCCAAAATATCATCAGCTTTCTGCATTTTATTAGACGGTGCTGTTAAGTATCACACGTCGCAACAAAACAAATTACAGGATGTAGTACAGAGCGGCTTTCTGCTGCCGAATGTTCAGGGTGTTGGACAACGAAGTAAACAGATAGTAATGCCCTGCTTGCATCAGTCACAGGTGTGTAAATCAATACTGGAACGACGAAGAAGCTTCCTGTTGATCACTTCCAGCTGGTTCAACCCAAAACCTAAAGTTCCAAACAGCTGTCACGCAAACCTTGGAAAGAATAAGAATAAAAAGAAAACATGAATAAGGCTTGTTTCCATGAATTGCCTTGGAGTTAAGAAGGTGGCGCTAAAGGCTACATGGCTGGATTAAAAGAGTATAAGAGACCAGAAAAAAAAGACATTTTTTTGCCCCCCAAAAAACTGCAAAGAAGAAGCAAACCCAAGAAAAATTCAAGATAAGTGTCTGCAGGAATACTTGCAAATCGGGAAATTTGTGATTAACTTTTCATGTCAGATGGTATCGGCCATGTTTTCTAGAGGCAGAAACAACTGATTGGTCATGTGACCTAATTAAAGATCATTAATTTCTTTTTCAAAAAGTAAAAAACACTTTAACTTTTTTGTTGCAAAACTGAGGACGTTTTTTT